CGCTCGGTCATGCATCCGTGCCAGATCACGTGTGGGAACGCCGTGCTCAACATCTACCGCAATCGCTAGCCAGATTAGATCAGACAATTCCGATTTATTGGTTATCGCCAAATACACTCTTCCGATCTCCTCGATTCTGTCTTTTGATTTCTATTGGTTGGTACGAGTTATATTAGAAGGAGTTACTGGTAAAAGCGTTGCCAAACACTGAATATCTTCCAACCGATCTAAGTTAGACTACCACTGAGAACCTAGAAGCACTGAACAGTTGTCGAACCCTAGTACGGAGCACCTCAGCATTCCACAGTGCTCTCAGGTTTTCAATGGTTGACTAACTTAGATTGGCACATGGTTTTAAAGAAATATAATATTGATTCTTGACATGTGGCAATATTTCCCCACTTATGTAGTTGGGTTTTATCATTCGTCCGTAATAAGTCTTATTTCCACTTAAATTTTGGCGAGGCTATAATTTATGAACGAAGCGATCAAATTTAGGGCAACAGGTCTTGGATTTTGGTGCGAAATTCACCCATCCATTTGGCATTTTAGCTGATGTCGGTTCTTTTGGAAAAAAAACCGTGAATCTAATTCCTCACCCTAACCATCAACTGTGAATAATAATCCTTATTCTTTAAACTGCTTTGTAACCCTCATTTAGACCTAGTAAGTAGGTAGAAACTATCCAGGTCACGTTGGCGTCGCTCTAAGTTCTTCCATAAATTTTAATCTTACCGACGTCACGTTCTGATCTATTTGAATTCAAATGGTATTATCAGGTGAAAATTTAACAACACAGGTACACTGGAAATCCAAGAATTCTGGATTTAACACCTGACTACTCTTACAATGCTTGGTGTCTACAGAATCGCTCGCTTTTTAAAAAGGGTCCTGACCCTTGGAATCGTTTCGAATCAACGTATCTTTGATGCTTTTGCAGCATCAAAAACATAGGTTTTATTCAAATTAATTAGGTTAAAATTCTTCGTTAATTCCCCCAGAAGACTTCGGCTTTTTTGTTTTTAGTACTTTTCAGAAATATAAGCGCGTCGCTATCACTTTTCTGGAAGTTTGCTAGAAAGTCCTCCATTTTTACCTGTTTTATCTTCTATGTATCACATTTTGTGTGGGCTCTTTCAATGGATTAGCATACTCTTCCTTGTGGAGGGCTAAGTCACCACTTCTCTATTTATGAAGAAATGCTACATGAGTGTATTGACTAACTTCATCAGGCGTATACTATCTAAAAATCTGATGCAAACGAGAGACAATTAAAGCCTTCTTACCACTGGATAAGTATTTTTTGCTACCAAATCAAGACAGTACTTATCTAGTAGACTATGAGTATCATATCACTATCAGAAAGATTGACTGTGGCAGTGGTGGTCAGAATATTGAGCTTAATGTTAATATTTTTGTTGTACATACCGAAATCTCAATGAAAAACTCGATCGCAACGAAAGAAATTGTCACCATGAGGGATAAAATCCCACTGGTAAGTGGACTATCTGTAACAGAAATTGAAGACCAAGTTGTCTCATTTGAAGTTACAAACAGAAATTTCAAACTGAGAGGAAATGTTAGCTAAGTAAAAACCGTGCACTATAGGTAGCTGGCCACTTTTGGTGTGTAAGAAGCCTTTCAGTGGTTCATATTCTGAGCCATGAAACCCTCCACAGTACCCTATTCAAGGCCACAACTCTGCTTTTTGCATGTGAGAAAATATCAAGTTGAGAGCCGGTAATTTGTGAGAATCGGTAGACCTGTAGTGTGGCGTCGAGTCGCGATTGACTACGATCACCACTACAAGAAGGTTGCGTACCAGATGTCAAAGGCGATCGGAGGTTGTTGCGAGTTATATTTGTTGGCGATCTCGTGGTATCGAGAGAGTACCGAGATAGTGCCAAATGAGTACATGCGGAATCACTGGGCAAACACAAATGCGTGCAAGGTCACAATCAATGGAGAGAAGAATGTCTTCAGGACAGTCAAACAAACAAGTAAAACAATCACTGGTACAATTGTTTATAATAATAATTGCTTCTATCAAACCAGTCGCGTTCTCTTGATAAAAGTAGGTCACTACAGACCCAAGTCCCAAAAATCGACATGCATATTATGATGTAAAGGTTGGGGCCTGTATCCATAGTATATAACCGGGCAATTCAGCTGGGGTCCACCTACAGAGCCCATAGGAATATATAGGAGGTTGAATGAACCGCTTGACATAAAGTCACCCTAATGTGACCAAATGGTTGGAAAGGAAGAAAACGTCTCCTGTTAACTAACTCTAGAAAGCACGATTATACTGACACTCGGAAGGGAATTATTATTTCATTCGAAGAAAGAGTTATGACCGTAGAGTAAGACTGAGCTCTAGACACGAATCTTCCATCACACTGAACCGCTTCAACATTGGATGGCAGAAAACAAGACAATGAATAGCAGATAAAGGATAGTAAAAGCCGAAAGGCTGGTGTAGGATCTTAATTGAAACTGTATGATTCTATGGTGAAGCCACAGTCACTGTAATTCCTCCATGTGTATATCAAATATATTATTTTACCATTAGGCTGAGTTGCATTCTTCAAAGACTCTCACAAAGAGTTCCCCTGACTGTCATGTTAGGGCTGGCCGATATAGACGATGGTGTGGCTTCGTCCAAAGATAACGTAGATTCGGCAATAACATCATAGAGGGTCGACCGCAGTATACTAATTCTGTTAGTCCAGTTGCGTGAATAAATTGATCAGTGACCATAGAATATTTAAAATCCTACAATATAATGCAAATGAAGACTGTTTTAACTGGAGTCACGACTCAACGACAGTGCAGCGAGGATAATCTGCAACTGGGAGAGGATATTACGAAGTCCAGTATGAATAGCTCATTCTCGTTTGGACCGAATTTTTTGTCTCTACAAATTGTCGTTTACCCGCGTAACAAAAATGTTCTACAGCTTATAGACAACAGTTGTCATGCGATTTTGCACTAAACTTCACATTTTATGATAGATTTTAAATAAGCTCAACATCTCCCAGGTGTACAGTGAGGAAACCTTTCAGCCATAATATCGTACCATGCAGGCCTAGCAGCTGTTTGCAAAGAATGACAAAAGAGGTCAGGGAACTCCTAAGAAAGCGAGGCCACGTATTATTTTGATCTCTATAGACTCTGTACTCTTCAGATCTACTCACTGTTAAACCAAGGATGAGTAGAAAGTACTGGTAAGTGAGGCTACACTATACATTAAGAAACATCTGGTTTATTGCTCTATGGAAAGTCTCAAAAGTTCACTCTCTCCTATTAGGAGGAAATTGTTTGGATTTCAGAGTCAGTGAGAATACCTAACGAAGTTATGAATGACATGTGTTCTTGTAATAAACGGGGGTATTTGATTTATAGTATGAACTAAGAATGCCCGAAATAACGTAATCGGGTCAAGAAGTACTAGATAACCACAAACGAATGTACTGTATTTAGAATTCGAAATCAAGCATTCAACAAGTACAAAGGTATCCTTAGTTCATTCGAACACCACATCCGCCACAGCTTAGATTGAAGTCTAGGTGTCTGTAATCAATTGTACGTCTTCCTCTCAATTTCATCCTGTGTCTGTCGGACAGTGTACTGGATAAGGGCTCTGTGTTATCTAGAATGTGCCCATTAGCATTAGAATTAATAAACGAAATTGGAACAGACTCACTTGGTTCCTAAGATTGTATACAATCGAACCACAAACGAATGTACTGTATTTAGAATTCGAAACCAAGCATTCAACACGTACAAAGGTATCCTTAGTTCATTCAAACACCACAGTTCTTACTGTTGTTATCAGGACACTGGTAATACTGTTGTACCAGTAAGCGAACTTTCCATAAGTGTTGAAAAACGAATCACTGTGTTATTTTTGTTTTCTAGTTCTTTTTTTCGGCAGTTAGGGTTACTACATTGTGTTCAATTCTCGATAAGGACGTAGGTAATCATACCACGTTCAGCAATTACACTGAAATTAAAAATATCTGCCGCAAGTATATATATGATAGGATTACAATGTTAAATGGACTCATTTTCATCGAATAATATGACAAACCAAGAATATCACGTAACAACGGATTTACCTCGCAGTACAGCTCGTAGGGTATTAGGAATGGGACGATTTACTACATCTTAACAAGTAGTATTGAGCAATACAAAAAAACGAATGGAATAAGGAAGAGATAAGGATAGGGCATGTAAATTAACTCCACATTTATTATTATTAATACCCCTAATATCAATATTATTACAGTTAGCCTGCTTTTACTCACCTAGCATCTTATCTCTATGCATTTTTTCTTCTTTCGCTTTGTTTATCTTAAGTGCTTGCGTAACTAATTAGCCTACTTCTGGCGACCGTTTTCCCGTTGCCCCTCAGCATTACAATATAATAATTTTCATCTTATAAGACTATGATAGACCAAGTCCTAAAATCGTAGATTAGCTATGTGACTACCTTATTCATAAGATCTTACTTGGAAGCCACATCATTGTCTGAGTTGACTCGTCCTATTGTGACAGTCGGCATAATAACGTTTAGCACTTCTGAGGAACACGCTTGATCCGATGATAGAGTGATACATTTGATTTTAAAAGGGATAAGTTACATAGGGTGACCACGTATGCTTGGCCGAGCTATGCTATACTGATTAGGTCTTCATGCGTTCACCATCTCTGACCCTGTCCAAGAGTTAAAACTCGGGTGTGAATCTTCTTAGTTATCGTATTTTTGGCTTTAAGGACCGTGTGGTTGAGAGCCAATACAACTACTGACAAATACCTGTCGAATTCATTTCAAATAGATCAGACGAGTACCCATACTACCTCTTTCGGAAGCCAAAAAAGAACCTAAAATTGTATGGTAACATCAATAAGTGTGTGCAAAGAAAATAGTTAGTTCATATAAGCTTGTCGTCAAGATATTAGATACTGTATTGTTTATTTACTTCAGTTTGTGCTTATGCATACTTTTTCGCAAGTTTAAATGGGAGTCGATTTAGCTCGGGTATTTGTAGGTAACTGTAGGGAAGTAACTAGTCATATCACTTATATTAACTGAAAGGGAAAAATAAACTTGCTAGTGACAATAGCTTCGGGCATATAATATATATAGTTATTCGTCTTCAACATACCCAACAATAATTCTTTTACTCCCCCATCGAATTATACGAAGCTGTAAGTTTATTACCTCCATTTCTTCGTCTTTCATGTTTATATTTTTCTATTGCGTGTAAAGTCCGTTTATTGCGTTTTAGATTTCAACGTCATTTTCCTGTTCATAATTATTTGATTCGCGTTGACCAACCAGCTGTATCATTCAACCTGTTTTTCCATAATGTGACGAAACTGTTGTCACCGATATGGTCAAAGGAAAGTTTCAGGCTTATTTCCCATTTGAAAAGAATTCTTTGACGTACAGCTGCCTCCACTGTCGTGCACATTTAGCTCGTCATGACGACCTCATAAGTAAATCTTTTCAGGGAAGTCAAGGTCGAGCTTATCTATTTAACCAGGTAAGCAGTCGTCTTTTCATTTCTTGAAACACTGTTGAAATGTTTTTGTAGGGCAATATTGCTGTATATTAACAAATGTCTGAATGATATGATTGAGGAATCCGATCTGCTTATTTACAGGCTTCATTCCGTGTTCTCCAATTAGCTCTAGATCTCTGCTGTGAGTCCAAACACTAACACACTGCAGTTTAGTCAGTCCCAGTCAACGTTTTTGTGTATTGTTCCGTCGAAATTGGCTTAAGCGTTGGAATTGTTGGTTAACTTTACCTTACAACCAAAGATTAATTTTATAAGTTAGTATTTTCTAAGCTTAGTTGTGACAGGATGAACGCTTAAGGATTTTCATTGTAATGTTGTAAGTTTAGTGGCTGCTTTGACTGTACTACATATCTCCTACTTTCACCTAAGTAAAATAATAGATTTACAAAGTACTTGTTTATGTACTTAACTTACAACGACACTGCCGTGATAAGGCGGCATTATTTTTTTATTGTGAAGTTTAGTGATGATAGTACTCAGTTGTGCAAACCCAACTAGGGTTTGCGAAATGCAAATCGGCAACTCAATAAAGGAAAGCCGGATACCTTAACCACAAATTAATTTCAGTAGTAGGATTACTTCGAATCCTAAGTAAATCTATGATATCCATGTCTACAAGCTTCTCCTGCTTCCGATTTTCAGTTAGCTAGATCGTATTTGTTACCACCACTCAGATGTTTTAGATGTTTTCACTACACAGTGTAGTTGCACTACTAGATTTATGCAGATTGTCAGACTTGTCGTTTATATTTCATTAATGTGTAGTTTTTGAGCGGTTTTGTGTAGACTTTTCCCTTTGGTAAGACATCCATGAGACTGTAGATTTGTTAAGATTAATTAAGATCCTAGTTTGGAGATTGCTTGTCATGTAATCGGTAGTTTGGGTTTGCAACTTCATATTAATTACACTTAGTAATAATGTAATTAGTTCTGGATTCATAGCCATCGTTGCGGATGTCTGTTTTCTTTTGAATGTCTATCATTGACTCAGTCCGAACTTGATTTAGCCTGGTTTTATTCAAATACTGATAAAAGAATTGTACTCATATTATTTGTTTCTCATAAACATTTATTTTTTACACTTCTCGTAACTATACGGTATATTTTTAATCTACTCTTTGACAATTTTTCTTCATACTCTAATACCAATCATATTAATTTACACTTTAAAATTATTTGAAGCAGTAAAGATCAAGTGCTACCTGCTTTTGACTATAGTTAAGCCAATATTTTGACTCAGCACTTGAGGAACATGCTTGACAAAGATAACCGTCGTCAAAATAAGCCCTTAATATTATGACATTGTGTATCGTCTTTTTTCCTCTTTTCTGCGTTTTACTAATTATATTTACAAAAGGTGTATCATTGATCATTGTTTATCTTACCTTCTCAAATTCCCTTCGTTTTCATCTATTGTTTTGACCATATTGCGTGCCTCATTTAACGATAGTTATTCCAAGAGTGTTAGGGTCAGAAAGTTCTGGATGAATGAATACAAATGAATTGACTTATTGCCAAGTACAAATTCATGTACTTGACTTCGTGTAACATTAAATCCGAGGGCTGGCGATGCTACCAAGTCCTTCAAACCGAATTAGACGAATCACGGTATGGACTTGCACTTTATTGACAAGAATTCAAGCACCTCAAGCTCAGGGTCACCGCTTTACCTTACTTGTGTGGTGTCATTGCTTAAATTTCTACGCGAAGCTATAGACTTGGTCTCATTGTCTTTTAATTATGACCCATAGTGCAATGAAATCATGTCCGGTACTTTTACTTCAATTGATGTCTTCAACTACTCCACATTGTAATTTATCTCTACATATTTTTCACGAACAGTTCATAACATTTAATTAGTACATAGTATTTTAGCTTCGACTGCGATGTAGCTAAAGCAAGTATAACACTATATTTTGGGAATAAAAGACTACAAGTAAGCCAAATTACTTCAATCTGAATGTTATATTACCCATCAGAGGTGGATTTTCTTATTTTTTTCAATGTTATTTGTATTAGTCAGCTTAAAACCATTATGTGGACACCGCATAAATATTCGTTTTAGGTGTTCATTCTTGTTCCGATTTTTAACTGACTAAACTACTCAACATATGTAGAATTATAATGGTAATTTTTGAAAGAGGGTAATTAACTTCTGTCAGGACCAGAGTAATGGTATATATCAGGTTCAGGGAAGTACAGTCATAACTAAAATACAAAGACGGTAAAAATCTCAGTATTATTAAGTAGTAATGAGTATAACTACCGTTTTTTTAAAGTAAATGTCAAGGTCTTGACTGTGAGATTTGGGCTACACTAGAGATGTTTAAATCTTTCGTTGTAAAATAATAAGCTATAATATTTGCTGAGCGGTCAAACAAGTAAAAAACTACTGGGGTTTTGGTGTTGCTAAGTCTTTGCATATAGGGGTTCCTTGGGAAATGTTGAGGGTGATGTTGGGTTTCAAGGAGGTTATTATCAGGAACTATCATTCAATCTAGGTCATAAATTATCTTACCCTCTTTCTTATGCTTTGTCCGAAAATCGATGGACGACGCTGATAATGTAAAGTAAATTAACAAAGTTCATTACACGCATTTTGCCTTTTTATTCCTTAGGCTGTAAATGTTCGTTGCGCTGAAGCTAAACAACGTGTTCTTCTGACCGGGTTGCATTTTGTAGCTGATATATTTTGTGCATGTTGTGATACAGCACTAGGTTGGAAGTATGAACGTGCTTTTGAACCTAGTCAACGATACAAAGAAGGCAAGGTGATAATTGAATTGGCACATCTATTTAAGGATAACAGTTGGGATGCTGAATGGTTATACCCTTTGTATCCGACAAGCTCTATTGCTAATGGTAATACTTCTGACACGACTTTAAAGTATGCAAAGCCGCATTCGATTAGTGTAAGTGATTATCGTCATAGTGAAACTGGAAAACCTAAATCTTCACTAAACTTCCCACCGATTGATGCGTCTGATTCTTTATCATCAACTGATGGAGGTGTTTTTGAATCTTCTACAACTGATTTAATTGATCCTAATGAAGAAACGTGTACAGATTTCGTGCATCATCATCACCATTCACACCCTCCTCCTTCTCTACACCATCATCACCATCAACTTCATTATCATTTGAATACATCTCCATCCTCAACTCAGGTTCATCAGTCATCATTTTCTCTTATGTCAAATGATTCAGCGTCCTTATCATATCGATTAAGTTCATCATTAAATGCAACGGGTTGGGCCTTTCGTATTCCACCATCACTGACATCTAACAATGATAGCCATGATAAATATTTATTAGACTTATCTGATTCTGGACGTGTCAGTGATTATTCTCATACTTGCACATCAACATCAGCAACAGAGAATGTAGGACATTTAAATCTTGTTTGTTCTACAGATAATAACATCAGTGATAGTGATATTAGACACGTTGATAATTTAACACCGGATAACGTGATTATCACTAATATTGATAAAAGTAATACACGTATTCATAATAATACAGATAACAAAACTAGGATAGTCTCTGGTCAAACAGGCACTAACATTAATAATAATAATACTGGTATTCGTAAAGAAGATGAACATTTTACCAAATCAAAGCCAATAACTCCTATTACAATTAAGCTATCTCATAAAGATCAAAATAACAATGCTGTGGATAATAATAATAACTCTGACTATAGTTGTTTGGAAACAGATGCATATGATATTTTTGAAGATATCAACTTTAACAATGGGAATAATCATAGACCAGTGGATGATTTATGCTTAAGAAAGTTATCTCAGGTAAGTTATTATTTATTTGACTTCAGTTTTTTGTTTTTTCAATGTAATGTATGTATTAGATATAAGATTTGCAATTTAGTGCATTTAACTGCGTTAGTCTGAAAATATTTATTTAATTGATACTATCCCTTGATGGATACGATATTGCATATGTTGACCTTTATGTTTCCTACTGATTAGTAGCATACAATTTAGAATTTAGAACATTAAAACTAAGGATCATATTTTTTTTCTCATTTTTTTTTCTCCATCGAAAGCTTAGTTGTATTAATATGTTACTTCTTCACGCTTTATTTATCCCCAATGTACTTAATATTACTTACTTACTTACGCCTGTTACTCCTAATGGAGCATAGGCCGCCGACCAGCATTCTCCAACCCACTCTGTCCTGGGCCTTCTTTTCTAATTCCATCCAATTCTTGTTCATTTTTCTCATATCTATCTCCATTTCCCGGCGTAGTGTATTCTATGGCCTTTCTTTTCTCCACTTCCCTTCAGGATTCCGAGTTAGCGCTTGCCTCGTGATGCAGTTGGGTGCTTTCCTCAACGTGTGTCCTATCCACTTCCAGCTCTTCCTAATTTCTTCCTCCGCTGGTATCTGGTTTGTTCTTTTCCACAGTAGGTTGTTGCTGATAGTGTCTGGCCAACGGATCTGAAGTATTCTGCGTAGACAACTATTAATAAACACCTGTATTTTCTGGATGATGGCTTTCGTAGTTCTCCAAGTTTCCGCCCCATACAGTAGAACTGTCTTGACATTTGTATTGAAAATCCTGACCTTGGTGTTGGTTGACAGTTGCTTAATCAGTTAGTGGTAATTAGGGAAGAGTTGAAATATTGATGATTAATTAGCTGTTGCCATAAAACAGCCGAGAATTTACCGACTTTTAATATTCATAATTCATATGATCATTATTTTACAAATCATTCATAGAAACCAATTTGTTTTATCTTTCACTTTTCACTTATCTTTGTTCTTTTGTGGAAAATTTTGTGGTCTTTTATTCCCTTAGTTTCATTTTGTTGTTTCTAAGCTTTATGTCATAAAGAGGCTCATTAATGTTTTAGGCTCGATGTTTATGTCACTTGGCTTTTATTAGTTTCTCGACTATTGTATATTCGATCATATAATCTTATTTTTCTAAAAATGCAATTCTTTCCATGTCTAATATTTAAATTTGATAAAGAGCATCTAAAATTATCTTCTTGAATGATCACCGATGTACGTATGTAAAGTCTATAATTTATAATGTTATTGAAATGATGTACCCACCTGAGTTACACGACTCAGTGTTTTAAAAGTTAAACGCTCGTCGTGAGGCCCAAAGGTCCTGTGTTTGATCTCTGGCGGTATTATAGATCCACACTACTGGTATGTCCCATCCCGGGGGCAGAACAACTGTCCACTCTCTCCTAGTTTAACATTCAACAATCTCCACTAATCCCTATACTAAGAATAAATCATTGTATCATTCAACTTTTTGTGTTCAGTGATCATAAAATATTGGGATAGAGTATCTGACTTAAGTTTAGTCTACCTGTCAGATCAAGACAGCAATTTTATGAGACCTAAAATCGGAACAGCACTCAGAAAATGAAGGGATAGTTTGTTTTTTTATGGAAGATATTTTCACATTGCTGTGTAATATTCGAGTTGATCAACATACTGGCCACAATGTGTAAGGTGATGGTTAGAAGTAGTCAACAGGAGATCTACCACCACCTTACACCTCTAAATAGTGCATGTAATGTGGAGTTACTTAGACTGGAGTGCACGTTGCAACTTGATCGATAGAATTCAATCTACACTAAGAAGGACCTGACATACATGACATTAGTCACTACCCAGTGATCGGTCAATTGTAAACTATCACGATGTTGATGTGAAATCTGTTTCGTCATATTAATTTTTATCGCAGGTTTCAACTAGGTACATCGGAATTGGTAAAATGTATTTAATAAAATGATAATTTTTAAAAGTACAAATTTATAGTTAGCACCTTTAAATACATTATCTGTTCTAATACATAAGTGAATGAAGTATGTTTTAAGTGGCTTATACGGTTTCATTCAAGCTCAAATATATAATTCACGTGGTATTTATTGCCTGCCAATGCTTGCTTATCTAATCAGAAATAATTTAGTAGAATTATTTTCGAATCCACCATCGAAAAATTAACTGTCAAAAGTCAATTTTATTGAACTAAAATTTGATACCATTTGTGTACTTTGAAATATTTATTTACGCCTGTTACCCCTCGCGAAGGAGCATAGACCGCCCACCAAGATTTTGTACCGAAATGTTGACTAACAATAGAAGAATGTTTGAGACACGTTTCTAACAGTCAATAACTACATGAATTGATGCCCACATTTTAGTATGGTCACCACAGCCTTCTTCTAGCCTACTTCTAGACCAAACAATCATCGCTCATCAAAGTGATTGAGCATACATAATACATGTTCTAATCATTTCAGTTGATAAGGATCTACAACCTACCTCATTAACCGACTCATCATATTTTCCTAGTACTAATCCATTAAGTTAATGAATTTACCTGTTTGAAGAGCTTTAGAATAATTGATTAGTGTACACAAAATATAGTTTAAAGCCTTAAATACAAATCTGTATTTGGTTAATGAGTTTCTGTAAATTATTAAAAGTAAATTACTATTTCATCTTACATATATTATACAAGATAATTAAGTAAATCGGCATATATAAACGGGATATCCTTATTTTCAATTATACAACACACGTTCACATTTACAATCAGCCTTTTTGTTGTTTTTCATTGTCTAAATGTGTCTCAATTAAATATTAAACCAACTTGTTTAATTACTGTTTCAACCCCCCCTCTCTCTCTTTATTTCTAACATAATCAGAATAGTTATAAGTCATGGTTACACAGTTTTACACGTGGTTTATTTAAAGTTCCGAATTTTCTTTGTTTTACTTCATATTTTAAACTAGATCATATGATACTTTTATATACATTTTTTTAAGAGAAAAATAATAAAGAATCGATACAGTTTGTTACCTTTTTTTCGATTAGTTACCAATGCTAAAACTTCTTATACACATCTATCGTTTAATATTAAGTTGAATAAAACTTTTTTTAATGCGTATAAGGCCGTGGAGATTATTAAGTTTTTGATTGAGACCATGAACTGATTGATGTTAGACCACTATTGAAAATCTGGAAGCACTGGACGACCGTTTCGTCCTATTTTGGGACACCTGAACAGTGTACATTCACTATCCCCCTCGTTAGATTCGGACCCAGGGCTTTCGGTCTTGCGCGCGAACGCTTAACCTTTAGTCTCACAATTGGAAAAAATGGCCGTTCAGTGCTTCTAGGTCTCCAATGGTGATCTAACACTAATCAGTTCATGATCTCAATTAAAACATTTTTGTCAAAATCTTTATTAAATGTTAAATGAGATATAATTATGATATGAATTACCTTAAGATATAACATTTAAGAGGAAGAAGTAAAGTATAAATGATTGTTTTTTATTATCTTTTCGTGCTACACTTTGATACACAACAATTGCTACTATGATGTGTGTTACTGATATCGACAGATATAAGTAGTATGTATTATTAATTGAAAGTAAAAGGCCTGGCGGTAGAAGGTTAGGAAGGTCGATGAGAGCAGAGAATGATGTGGAAATGAAGGAGCAATCAAGTATAAGACAATTGATTAACATTTTGCAAATGAAGTATTTACTGTATGGTTCTCAGATTTTACTAAGTTGTTCTGTAATTCTGTATTTAAATACATTTGGTTGCACCCATTTGTGTTCTCGTTCACTACATTACTACCAATATTACTTATAATAGTAGTATTAATCATAACAGGGATACAAATAATGATGGAATAGTCTTAAGTTTGTAGCTTTTCTATTACTCTCTTTTTATTTTTCTATACCTAATCTTTTCTACCACTATTACTGCTACTACTCTGGAACCTGTATTGAAATAATTTTATCTCACTGCGTTGATGTGGTGTGACAACTTTAGCCGATGGACATATGTATCAGGCTGAATGTTGTATATGACTGAATGACAACACAATTATATAGTATTTTCCTAAGAGCTCTAATGATTGATTATGAATGTTTGAGAATCCACAACAAATATCTTGATTATCTTATGTCTTCCATATTCAACGATTCTTGAGTATAGTTAACCCACAACTAACACGGAGATATCCTTTCAGCAAATGCCTGTTCATCATGAATCAATAACCATTTATATACCGTTCTTTTTCTATTGAGTTCGTCTATTGTCCCCTGGAAAGGATTCTTTGTTGATTCTCTAATATGCAATAAATCATGATTTATCTTGTAATGATAGGACTATGTTAGGTTTCAGTTCACTAAGAAAATGAAGGGTTACTATTTGTCAGAGATGATTAGATTGTTGAAAGCTTCACGATTTTATAGTCTGAATAAATAAAATCAGTAGTTTGTAACTATCAGTGATTGTGATTTAAAATCGGTTATAAACTCACTAATCTTTTGACCTCCAAATACTAAATATAATATTATTGGGTACTTTTATTCATTGTGTTGATTCTTTTAACTTTTCCTTTTCGTTTAAATTTTAATGCTCATGCTTAGATTTACTTGCTTTCAATTTTCAACTAGTTGTGATAACATGAAATAGGGTGACTTGAATCACCGGTTTGGAAATTTTCTAAATGTTCAATGACTGCCTAAGTCAACTGGAAGCTCATAAATTGGGCATATTTGCAATATTAACAGAAGTTGTACTCATGAAATTCGAACTAGCGTCGAGTTTCAACTAGGATGAAAGCTTAACACTGAGTTCGACAATAATTTAGTACGTCCATAGAATTTGTTTTACAAACTAATGTTTGGTGATTGAAGGCAATCGGGAAAAAGTCAACTGCATTCCCGTTTGATTATTGATGAGATTAGATTTTATCAATTAGTGTAAATTTATTAGTCCTATGAGCAATAAATTACGAGCCGAATAGCCCAGTTATGATTCCTCATATTGCGACTCTAGAGTGATTCAGTTCCGAATCTCATGGGTGTCGCAAGTCCTCAAACTTCTAGACACGACTTACTGACTGATTCCAGATAGTAAGACATCCATGCCTGAGGCCTCCTTCCACCATCTAAACCCCAAAAATAGTATATACAGTGTTGAACCACTTGAACTACTGGTAGTATAATAACTTGGTTGATGGGAAGGATTCGATAAACATGAAACCAGTTACCGAGAGGCGGTTAATCAATGTAAATTTGCCGTGGTTTTGAAATATTTTATTGGTTTCGTTTTATATGTCAATGATGACACTCAGTCGGTCAAACGAAACGTAGAAACTGGTACATCAGTCGTAGCTGCAATACCGCATTAACACAGATAGATAAAACTGTCAAAGCGAATCCCAGTGGAGTAGAGGTAATAACATTATTAATAGTAATAAAGAAGATTGGGGTGTCCAAGATACATTTCCAGTAAATGTAAACTGATGAACATAAAATTTATGGGGAATTTAGAAACAGGATCGAAGGAAGAATAAAGAGCTTTGTCGTTCAAAGTTTCTAACAATGGGTTAAGACAATCGTGCACCTACCTACATTGCTCACTTCAATAGTCAGTGTCCTCATGGACTGCTGTTATGTTTTGGCACGGCCGTCCCAACCTTTCTTGGGTGGTTGGTAATTGGTGGACAAGCTTACATAATACATATCCTAACCGTCTCAGTCGATAAAGATTCATTAATTTGTCAGTCGACTTGCCATTTCCACCTAGTAAATGCTTCTAACCTCAGGATTGCCAATGCACAATCCCAAAATATACGAGCAGTGACCCAGAGAGATCTGTAGTCAAATACTGGTATCCTCTATTTTTTAAAGGTGTCACTTCACAGCCGTCAGATAGAACGGTGTGAACTACTGAATGGTATACTAGTTATTTTGTTAGCAGACAAATATCTTGCCTACTCTTCAAGTAAAGCAATTTAGCAAAACCAACTGGGCTTTCTCAATTCGTGCCAAGATTTCGTTAGACACTACTCGGAACGGGCGAAATATAGTGTTTGGTAGTACAATATGACTTTAAATCTCAATATATATTAGTATTTCTTTAGTTCCATTTTATCCCAATAAGTCAGTATGAAACTAAGTCTTGACATTGTGTACAGCAACTTTGGTATAGTCAGTCAGCTACAATGTAGGACGCACATATATGCATCGGTCCAAGTTGCCATGTTTCATTAGCACAACATGATGAACACCGGATTCATAAAAGTAGTTAATTCAACAGTGGTAATATATAAAAGAAAGACTGCATATAAGGACATAGTGCAGGAAGAAAGAATAGTGTTCGTAAAAAGAAAGATATGAAGCGATTTTAATCTCGTAGATTACAGGAAGACAGAGAGTGTATACACCGACGCTATTGTGATAGATCCCGAGCCATGTCACACAGAGTCTCTAACTATTGGTTACGATAGCCATGCGGACCCCAAACAAGTAGTGTGCATCTGTCAACATGACTCAGACTAGAAGTTAGTGACTTTGTGGACTGATGTCACGTTTTGGTTTGTCCGCCCCTAACTTTTTTCCGACCATCCCCTACACTAATCAGCATTGTGCGTCGTGTTAATCGATATTCAGACATACGTACCAAGTGGCCCAACCATCTTAGTCGATGAAGATTTACAACTTCATCAAATGATTTACCATCATCCAACTTTGGTACAACCATTCTGTATAGGTGTTTTGTGTTCGTATATCAATTACGGGTTTTACACGTTTCTTTTACAAAAACGTACTTTAAAAACAATACATGAATGAATATTTATTTATTTATATTATATTCAAATCACTAACTGATTACTTCTCATTTCATTACGGTTTTCTAGTTTTCAACACCACAAGCTAGAAGAATTTCCAAAATCAATACACAAAATCTACGAGTTACATTCAATTCTAATTTAGCTAAACGTAATCGTAAACGTATAAAACATCGACTTCGTGCTTCATCTGCTTCACCTTCAAGAGATTTTCTTTTACCTACTGGTTCAGAAGATGAAGAAGATGATAAAGAAGAAGAAGCAGAAACAGAAGAAACAGATAATCTATCCGATTTTACTAATTTTCATAATCAATCACAAAATATTGTTAAAGTACAAGATTGAATGAAATACTATACTATTTTAATTCTATGAATAGCTTATTCGAAACTACATTTACTGTCCATGAATTTTACACACGCCCCCCCCCACACACACACACGCGCACACGCACAAAAGTACACAACATAAGCCTTTGTATGATTTTAAATGCTGTGGATTAATATAAACCATATGTCTTTCGAGGATCTTTTATTTACATCAGATAAAAACCCAGTTTACTTTAAAATAATTCATTATTTATTTTATCCTAGTAACACATATCCTCTATTCATTGCTTATTGTTTCTTATTTATAATAATGATAATTGTTCATAAAATTATTTTAGCGGTTTATCTGTTTCAGCTTCTTTTCTTCTTTCTTTTCTCTTCCTTTCTTTTCTTTTCTTTTGTTGTTGTTGTTATTGTTGTTGTTGTTCATATTAGATTAATCCTAATCTCTTATATTTCATATATCATTTATATAAATATTCACTATTTCAATCTTGAATATCTTGTTTCTAGGTTAATAAAAGCGAATATGTTGTCCAATAATATTTGTCCAAAGTATATGATAATCTTAAATGCATAGATAATATGAAACTGTTATCTTCTTATTGATTTATTGATTTATGAGCATCTATATTATTTTTGATAATCGATTCAAGGTAATGGAATTATTCAATGGATCATCTCCCTCCCTCCCTCCCAACCTCTCTCTCTCTCTATATATATATATATATATATATATATATATATATAACAATATTAAAATTGCGAATAGAAAAGGAAACGAATAAGTTATTATTAGTTACTTGGTGGATAGTCTCAATTTTGCTTATTAGTTAACTTTAATTGTTTTTCTTTCATTCTTTTCTTCTCTCTTCTTTCTTTTCTTTTTTTTTATTAATACAAAGAAAAACAAGCAAGCTGTTACGTAATCTCGCTTTCCTTCATGTAATAATAATAATAATAATAATAATAATAATAATCATAGTAAGAGTTTGTTCATACAGTTCAATATATTACTATTAATAAATACATACTAGACACCTTGATATGATATTGATTTTCAAAGAAAAAAAAACAAATAAACAGAACAAAACAAAGATTTCTGTAAAATATATTTTGATCGATTATTATTATTATTATTATTATTGTTGCTACGTCTTAGTTACTATGTTCTATGTTATTTTCATTTCAAAGATTATTTTATTGTTGTATTTGTGAAGAATTTTATGTTTTTGTTCCTTTTTTTATTTTGCTTCTTTGTTTTCATTGTCTCTTAGAATTAAGCCATGTTTCATTTAAAAAAACAAAAGAAAATAAAAGAAATTCAATAACTTTACCGTTTTTCCCCTCCTTTTAATTATTTAGTTCAATGATAAATATATGAAATTTTACTATTTGGAACAATTAATTTAATTTGAATGGTTGAAATCATGAATCAATCGAAGCTAGACCATCGTGGAAAACCTGGTAGTATTGAAAGGACGTTTCGTCCTACTGTAGGACTCCTCAATAGTGCACATTCATGATCCTGCCACACGAGATTTGAACCCAGGACCTATTAGTCTTGCGCGCGAGCGCTTAACCACTAAACTACTAAGCCAGTCGGCATCCAATGGTGTTAATGTCTAACTTGAATTGATCCATGATCTTAAGCAACTCTTCATCCTTTGTCTGAGGTGGATAACTGTCTCGTACTCGACACAGATTGAAGTCCACTGGTCACGGCTTCTCACTTCAGGTAATATCTCTTGAAGCCAGTCAATAGTGAGCATATGTTGATTAATATCAGAAGGATTTTTGTGGATATTATAGTAATTTCAATAGTTGAGATCATGAGTTATTTGAAGCTAGACCACCATGAAAAACCTCGAAGCATTGGACGACCGTTTTGTTCTAGTATAGCACTCCTAAGCAGTGCACATCCACGATTCCACCTCGTGAGACTCGAACATAGGACCTATGAGTCTTGCGCACGAGCGCTTAACCACTAGACTACTGAGCCGGAGTTCAATTGTGTTAATGGTAATAGGTTCGTATCTCGCAAGGCGGAATCGTGAATGTGCTCTACTGAAAAGTCCTACAATGGGACGAAACTGGTCGTCCAGTGCTTCCAGGTTTTCCATGCTGGTCTAGCTTCAATTGACTCATGATCTCAACTATTGAAATTACTATAATATCTACAAAAACCCTTCTGATATTAATATGCTACTTTATTAATTTAATTCAATTCAACTAAATGTTAAAATATAGATTGCTGTTTGGATTTGAGCAATAAATGATTATGTGTTTGAAGGCTTAAAAAATGGAATTAGATAAGATGAGGTTACAATTCCAAAATTTCACTTTACATAGTATAGTTTATTTTTCATTATTATCTGTTATGTACACCAGTATGGAAGCTTTCTATAAATGATCCCAATTAGCTACTTGTATAAGAAAACTGAGAACGAGCAGAAAATTTTATTGTTTAGAACCAAGTCTTATTCTCTTAGAAAATAAAGTTTCGTTTTTCAACCAGTAGCTTATATCTCTTTCCTGAGAAAATGAAGCTAAATCTTGTCCATTAGCTTGCGCTTATCTTTTAACCGATGTTTGATTGGCTCAGAATATCGTTTCTTGTCATTATAATTAACTGATATTAGAATCAAATGAATAAATGATAATGAATGTTCATTAATTATCAAATTAGTTCATATGGCTAACAGATTTAATTGTGTATCTGCTGGGGACGTTAGATCCCCAGAACTCACTTGGGAAAGAACCTAATTTTGTAATTTTATTTAGAAAATTTGAATTTGTTTTCGCGCCAAAGGCACTCTTGTCACCTTCATGTCGTATTTCCCACTGGGAAATATTTTAAATGCTATTGGTCCGTTGCGTCTTTTAGTATGCTATTATGATAACTCTCTCCAAGGACGGTTTTTTACTGTATATATACGTTTTGAATTGTGTTTGTTGTTATCGCTCGTTTTCTGGCTGTTTGCAGAATATACTTCCTCATTCCAAGCTTGGACTTCTCCCTCTAGTTAACGGGGCTGGGACGCATCAATAGCTAGCTCACTGGTCTTCGGTCACCGAGTCTTGTTTCTCGTTCGCAGATTAAGTGAACTCGTGATAGCTTCAACCCTAGCAGTATCATTTATAATATTCTGAAATGAGTTATATACCTAACCTATTCAGTTTGACGAGGAGGAATGTATTTATAAAATCTCAGAGAATGAATTTGGAGTAAATCTCACGTTTCGCCTAGCAATCTGGTTTAAACTTTTTCAAAGAAAATTTCCTTCAATACATTCTTCCTCTTTAATGTCTTATATCAACTCGGTGTTTAAATACTGTGAAACTATTCAGTCTTACATTCCAATGTTCTGTTTTTACTTCAAAAAGATTAATTCTCATATGACACACATCTTACTAATCAATTATCAATCTGTGACTGTACACACAGAATTGTGTTACCAAGCAACTCAACAGTATTGTAATGCCGAAACAAAAAAAAATGCGAATAACTAATTCATTGATTTGTTTCTATCAATTGTATGATTCGTTACATATATGTAGCATATCAGCTGTTAAAACTGATTTCGTAGATGGTTGATTTTACTTCATGAAGACAGGTAATATACTTAGACAGAATGCGCAATTTTTTCTTTCGAGAAATTACGTAATTAACTATGATACGATTAAACTTGATAGTCTGGTTTCAATATTGTTGGTTAGCTAATGACTTACCATTTACACACTATAGAATAATTACTTCACTAAGTTATTTCTAATCATACTTGTTACCTTATTTAAGCATAAGGACCAGTTATTCTGTTTCGATACCTATGCATTTAGTGATTGTTGCGTGAAAACAAACTTACATGGCCAGAATTCACAAATGTGTTTACTGATCAATATACAAGTATAACCATATTCCCACGCAGTATCCTTTCTCTTTGTTGTTACTATAATCAAATGAAAATACGATACATAGTTAATAGAAAAACTTTAGTTGGATACATGGATACATTTAGTGATGATTACATTATGTTGGTATTTATTTATGATTACAAGGCCATTTTGCAAGTTTTTTATCACTAGTATTACATTTCAGTATTGAACGTTTATGTTTTTTAAAACCTTTGTGGAGTACTATAGGGAAATGAACATGCTAAGGGAATAGATAATATTTGATACATGAATCTAGTTGATAGATAGATCCAACTGTAAGTTTCTAGTGTATTAGCTTCCATTGATAATGAGCATATGTAACTTAAAAAACATCTACTTGGGCTACTTCATTACGCAACAATACAATAGTTTGTGATTAAATACTTTATATGATAGGGGTTAGAGGTAGTCAACAGGAAACCCTGCACCTAGGTTTCATGATACTTGACACTTGCCAGCAAGGTGTACTTGTAATCTTAATGGAACTGATACTCCCTGATGGGTTAGATCCCGTATCACCAAGCTTTACAGTCAGAGACGTTACCACTGAGCTATCCAGGCCCTTCTTAGTGCAGATCGGATGTAATCGACCAAGTCGCAGTGTGACTCAACTACCTTCAACCACCATCTTATCTCGACATAGTGTACGCAATGTAGAGTCACCTAGACTGATGGCCACATTGCAACTTGGTCAATAGCATTCGATCTACACTAAAAAGGACCTGACATATGTGACAATGATCACCATTCAGTGATCAATCAATTGCAAATTAAATGCTTTATGTATGCATCACGTAAACTGTTGTATGAGGATAAACAGTTGTTTCTTTTATTAGTTTTAGTTTCCTTTACGTGGTACTGATTAATTTGATAATTTTAGTCTGTACACTGCCCTATCTAGATGTGATTTTCTGTCTGTTTAATTCACCAGTCCTGTAGTCATAAAACATGTTTCATCAGAGGAACTTTCTAAAATTGCAAGTCGCTTGATTGGTGTTTCCTTTTTTCCCTTAATTATCACGAAGAAGATATATATACCCGAGCGTACCTGATACCTTGGTGTTATGGGCACTCTTATCTGCCATGATCACCCAATCGAGCTATATTGTCTGAGGCACTCATTCATTTAGGTCCTAACATACAAGCCAGATCAGTTGGAGACCAGGAAGTTTAAAAGCAGAAATTTAGTCTGAGGGTAGACTAGTACTGCCGGCTGTACTGTATGTAATATGGTAGCATTAAGCTGTGTCCTTCGGGCAACCACCATTTTTAGAAAAGTTGCTTTCCCATAACGGAAGGTGGTTAACTTTCCCCTCAAATCAAACTCCATCGTCATCACCAATGATAAAGGATGAAATTTATGAAGCCAATACATTAAAAACTGCTCACAAAAGTCAACGACTGGAGGGTTATAGATAGGAAATTAGTTGAGTGCATTAATCATTTTACTTATCTTGGAAGTCTCAACGTCGTTGATAAGTTAGTGTATGACGAGATTTCGGCACGTATTAAAGAGAAGCCTTTCTGTTTATGAGAACTTATGTCGTCCTTATATTAGGCAAATTGCCCATCTGTCAACCAAGAAGAGTATATACTGCACAGAACTTCATTACACAGATGTGAAATATAACATTTAAAATTGGGGAAATTTGTACGTTACTAGCATTTGATCATAGATTTATCAGAAACAATAACTCTGATTGAGACTAGTTGGTAAGTAGGTAAAGACTACATGATTAGAATGAGTATAATTTTCGTGAGGGATGGTTTTAGACAACAGGTGACATGTTTCAGAATCGGTTGCAATGAGATAGATGCATTCATTCTTTTTATCCTTCTATTTAATCTTGAGTTTTACACCACTAATATTACTATAACTATTACTTAGATGTTTAGAATAGTTCTTTCCTCATTCTGAACTAATGTGATGTATCAACCTGATTTAATTCACACGTAAACTATGTTCAACTTTGCTTATCACTAATTGATGTATATCACGGAATATTATTCTTAATATTTATATTTTGTATTACTATTATGTACAGAATGTTTCTTTGCCTTGTTTCTTATTAAGTTACTAAAGTATAATCAAAAAATGTACAGTTAACTTTTGAAAAACGAATATTCAAGTCTCAAGCTCTAAGATATCTTCTTAAAGAATCAAATAAATGTACAGTTTTGTCTTAGTAACAACCAATATATAACATCGGGAGACATTTCAAAACATAAGTTTATTTAATAACGATACTATACTGATAATTACCATATACTCACTAGTGACTAACTTCGTGAAGTAATTCTTGGAGTTCTAGTGAGAAGCCATAACCAGTAGAGTTAATCCGTACCCTCGAATGTCCTGGTACGGCCGAGAATCGGGAAAGTCAGCTCTCCCTCTCGAAA